ATACACCCCACCCCCAACCCCAAAAGTTTCTCAGCGGATTTGGGCTGTACTCAGCTAAGCGCAGTACAGCTTCCAACTCAGATCTGAAAAAAAATTAGTGGATGGTTGTTTTCCGACTAGTCGGCAGACCGCCGACCGGTCAGCCCTACTGGTCGGCTGCAATACTGTCGGCGGTCGGCAGGGATGCAACCATGACTCACCGCATGAAGACATCGAGCACATCGAGCAGGAACACACGGGAAGACAAAGTGAAGTCGCCACACACACTACAACAGCACAGAGCAATACACAACTACTACCGTTTTCGTACAGACATTCCACCACCAACTCCTCAACTGGCTGTTTTTTTTCTCTGCATCAAAGTTCACCTGTAAACGTCAGAGATGGGAAACGACATCCTCCAAAAGCCCCATTACTTCCATCTCCCCTCCGCTCTGCAACCTCATCCCCTCCTCTTCCTCCTAAACAGTCTCCATCTCCCCTCCACTCTGCAACCTCATCACCTCCTCATCACCTCCTCATCCTCCTAAACAGTCTCGATCACGTGCTCATTTCGTCTCACGAGAATGCGTTTTGTGCTGACACAAAAAAAGCATCACGATCTTGACATCGCAAACAGGAAATAGGGAGATAATTTCTATGCCAGAGAAATTTGGGCACTGCTCTTTCTGCATAAAGAGAACCATGATCCTCACAGTTCTTTCACTATTATTATTATTTTTTTTTTTCTTGACAATTGCAAACGGCGAATCCCAGTCAGCATAGTCCTACTTTCTGTGGCATACAAAGAATCTCATGCTCGCCATGATGATTTCCATCATGGACAAAGAGCCGTGCCAATCATCAGCATAATCATTTCTGTGACATTCCAGAAAAAGACCTTGGGACTTACGCCCTCTGCCATTTGCCCCCCAAATGGCATGCTGCTGAATGTGCCTTGTAAAATGTGGATGCTCAAGTGACAGCTTTGCAAGTGATTAAGCATAGCTGGATGGAAAACAATTTAGAGATTGGCTCACAATTTCACATCGATCTGGTAATATCCAAGAGGGATGAAGAGAAGTCTTACATTGACAATGCTGCTCCTGCAGCCTTTTGCCTTCCTTGCCTCCCATGCCCAGGACGATTTAGCATCTGCTGAGTTTGGCGGTACTTCAACTCAAGCACTTGAAGATGATTATGTAGATCTCCCAGCTGTTCTTTTACAGTCTGGTGAAAACAACATACAGCACACACACACACACACACACACACACACACACACACAGTCAAACTTACTACTTAGTCATGTTCTTTTTAGTGCATAGCGAATCTGACAACACACACACACACACACACACACACACACACACACACACACACACACACACACATTCAGAGCACAGAGAAAAGTTGGGACTGCCTATTTCCGCCATGCAACTCACATGCATGTTGGCTTGCAGGCACACATTCTCTGAGTGCGAATGCATTCGTCAAATGGATTTGGCAAAGAAAGAACAGAAAAACAGATTCCTATGGAGAGTGAATAGCACTGAATACCACGAGCCGAATTGAAAAGCACACAGACATGACCAGAAGAGCAACAATACAGAGCAGCCCGTTAAACCAACACTACCTCTGAGCCTGTGTTTACAGACCCTGATTTTCACACACCAAGTTTTGCCGAGCCTGGGGTCCATTTTGTTTCTTTTCTGGTACTCTTCTGAAAAAAGAGGGAAACAAAAAAAGCACGGCCAGACTTTCAACAACCGACGCGCTTACAACCACAAAAAAGAAAAAAAAAAAGAAAAAAAAAAAACACCCATTTGGACGTGATACCAGGTAGATACCTACCCCGAAGTTGTTGTGCGAGTATGCCCTGAGTGAGGACGTTCTGGCAGTGGTGTCAGATCGACGGAAGAAGAAAAAAGAAAAAACAAATTGAAACTGAACTTAGGGCGGGAAAGAAGGCTCAAGTGTGGGCATGCCCTACACCCCAAAGTGTCAGCAGCCCCTGGACTGCGCCATGCCTCCCTGGCAGGGCACCAGAACAAAAAAAAAGAAAGAACACAAAAACACGACGAACAACGAAGACCTGAAACTGGCCACAATAGTAGTTAGATACTTTCTTGTAAGTATTGGTGTGAGCATAACTTTGTGCACGGCCTTCCCCGACTTGGTCTTTCGTTTTTCTTTTTGTTTTTTGAACGGGCCCACAACACCCAACTGCCGCGCCTCTGCATAACCCCGAAAAGTTCGGAAAACGCGGGGAAACTCAGTTGGTTACACCGGACCCAGACCCGGACCCGGACAACGCATGTCCGGTCAGGTCCATACGTCCAGACCTCCGGACATGCATGGCTCTGGACGGTCCGGACCGGTAAGCAGGTCCGGAAATGCCCGTGTCATTAAAAAATAATAATAATAAAAATAAATCTGACAAAAATTATGTTATGCAGAATAACAATGCAAACCACTTTTGCCTCAGACTCGTGGCACAATTCCAACCCGAGTTAAAACTTAAAAGTCAAAAACTATAAAAAACTTAAAAGAAGACACAGCATTTTTGATAGAATGGAAGGCCAAAAGCATCATTACATGGGTAAGAAGTTTCAGAAATGAAGTAGAGCCTACATCTTCAGGTACTCAGAGATGGGGAGCAGATGAGTCCATGTCTTACAAATTCAAGGTGTTTGTCGAAGGCACCCTTCCACGATAACGAGAAGATAAACAAAACCTTTGACTAACATGAGACAACAAGAAGTTAGAAAAATGACGCATTCCTCAAAGCGTGAGGCATGCTCCCATCATCTTGACGATGAACTACGTGGAGAATATGTAGGACCAACCTCATACTTCTTCATAACCGATTTCCGCTGTGCTTCCATTGATGGATCTAATCTCTGGGCATCCCACAGAAGACCATGCCGCTCATCAAGATTCTGCTCCAAAAGGCTCTGGAGATGGACCTTCCACGCTCTAACTGCAGACCAAAATACACACACACCGGACACACACACACACACACACACACACACACACACACACACATCATGTTATCCGTAACTTATTTGAAGTTATTTCTTTCCTCTCATTCTTCCACACTCAACTGCAGACCAAAACACACACACACACACACACACACACACACACACACACACACACACACACACACACACACACATGTCCTCCTCACTCTCTGATGAGGTGACTTCATATCTGACCCATAACATATCGCTAGGGCCAGGCAAGTCCATCACGTGGATGTTGCTGTGTCTTTTCATTATCTCAACCCGCCTTGCCTAGCCACATTGCTACGGGCAGGCAAGTGAATCCTGCTCTCTGACTTCTGTTAGCGGCAAGATGCTTCAGACCCCAGAGATGTAACAGAGAGTTGATAATATGAGCCAAAATCACAACAAAGTCGAAGTAAGCCATGAACGTCAAATCTGCCGACTTTGCAGTAGTGAAACATCGCTCTATCTATACCCCACCACAAAAGTGACTCGGAATGTATTGATCAAGACAAGGAAATATATGAAGGGCCTACCCTGCATAGTACGGTCTTGAAGATCACCAAGATCAAGCCACATCTCCTCGGACATTTCCTGCAACAATCATGCACACATTTCATCCACCCATGTGTCAGTGGGGTTTCTTGAATATCCCTGTGGCCTAAAACGACATAGACTCCAAAGGAGACGAGCCAGTTGCTCCTAAAAGAAGAGTGGTTTAAGAGGCAGCAAAAAAGGGATTGGTCAATACATAAGGGGGGGCCTAGGGCCAGATATACCCACATCAGCCACCCTCCAAGTCCCCTGAAAACTATTCCCATCCCCAGTCCCATATTGCCCGGAGTGACCACTAAAACCCTTAACCCTTCCTTATTAAAACATACCCTCCCACCCTGCTCCAATATCATAACGACAAATCTCAGTAAAATGCCTTCCAAGTTCCCATCCATCTTTTTACACCCTCAAACACTCACTATTTCCAGCTAACAGGATAGGAAGCCCACTTGACAGTCTTGAGTAGAGCTGGTTTCATTCCACAGCTACCCAAGGAGCTATAGTAACAAGAGGTTTTACCGAGTATAGCAGACTAGGAGATAAAGTTATATCAAGGCCTAAGCCTATAGGGCTTAAAGACTAGTATAGGACGCAGAGGAATACCAAACTTGCGGCTCCAGCAGTTCAGATCATTCACATAGCCAAGTAGCTGAGAGGAACCCTTTAGAGACAGCCTCCATAGGAAGGTTACTATCAGTAAACAACAGAGTAGGACGGAGCAACACCATTCGCCCTAAGCACATGGATCAGGTCAACCTAGGCAGGGGTGAAGGATGGTACATCCTTCCCATGAGAAGTAATCAATGCCGTCCTTCGGGCCTTCCAACCATAAAGGGAAGGAGCGTGAGTGAGTATTTGTTGTAAATTCTTTTGACGTGCCGGTGAAACAGGAACCGGACTGACGCTCCCCAGAATGGAAAAGGAGCCAGAACCGATAGGTTCTGTCAAAAAAAAAAAAAAAAAAAAAAAAAAAGAAAAAAAAAAAAAAAGAAGAAAGAAAAAAGAAAAGAAAAGAAATGCCAGTGGAAAAAAGAAGGTTGTCCGGAGAGACGGAGAAGGCTAGATTAGCCGAAAAATGGTGATCGGTTCAAGGATGCAAGGTTAGGAGGACTGGAGAAAGCGCTCTGAGCTAACATCCTAGGACTAGGTGCTATGAACAAGTAATCCATGCCATGCTTCCAAGAAAAGCTCGAAAAACTAATAATACCTGTGTGCCTGTACCTCAAACTGACACAGGTAGGTAGGTAGAGAATACCTAGGGGCGGAAGACAACTCTCTCTAAGGAACTTGGCAAAGGGGTACCTCCTTATGCAGGGGGGGGGCTAGGTCCCAAAGGCGAGCCCATCACCAGCACTTCGAGCATGCAGCTGGCCGAAATCACTGGCATAGCATTCAGGAAAAGAAAATGGCTGAAAAACGGTGGATTCATATGACCCTAATTGTAGGAAACGCTTGCATTTTCTCAACGCCGACGGCTATTTTCCCTACACCCATTGTTGTGGACTTCTTAGGTGGGCAGATGCACACATACACACACACACACATGGCACTTCCCTCTATTTTTTTTTTGTATGGATTGGGAGGTTTGGTCGGTGTTTTCTTGTTGGTAGAGCGTTCTGTGTTGTGGTGCACTGTGGTTTGTGTAAGGTAATTTGTTAAGGACTTCGCCTTTTGTTCTCCACCAATGTTCGCATGAATGGTTGGATTGGTGCCTGGTATGTGGGGCAGGCTGGAGTTGTATGCTTTGGTGGCAGACAGGTGACTTGGCACTTGGCGTTTCCCTCTGTTTTTTTTCTTATGGATTGAATCATTGAAAATTATATCACCCCATCACAAGCCAGCATCGGTGAAAGTCCGACGAAACAGTTTGTCACAGCCCCTCGTTTGTTGTCCTCTTCTCCCTCTCTGCCTACGGTTTACCGGGCAGTTCTATTTGACGATATATAAGAATGAGAAAACTGAATGGTTTCAGTGTGCCCTTCATGTTTGTCTTGTTTTTTAGTTTGTTATTTTTGCCTTTTGTTTCACAAAGTGCGCTCTATGTCACAATATGTGCAAGTGTGCTGCTNCTCTCTCTCTCTCTCTCTCTCTCTCTCTCTCTCTCTCTGTGGGTGTGTGTTGTCGTGTTTGTTATACAAAACTTCACAGAAATAGGATGACTCAACCAGACTGTCTCATCGAACCAGGAATTGGGACCCCAACAGTCTGCCCAGGGCGCGATTGACAGGTGGATAAGGACTAACCACTTCGCCCGCAGTTCACAATACCCCTGAGAAAAGTGGTTGGTTTTTCTCACAGCAGCCCTGCAATCCTAACAGACTGTCGGCCCAAAACCACATCAGCCAGAGTTCGCAATACCCCTGAGAAAAGCAGTCAGCTTTTCTCACACCAACTCTGCAATCCTACCAGTCTGCCGTTCCAAACCCCTGACAAGAATGGCAGTGAAACTGAGAAACTATTCTGCCACAGCCATAAAACCCACTCTACACAGTGTACACACCCACTCTGGCTGTGTGCATGCATGTTCCACCACACACAAACATCCGCAGGGGAAGATTTGACCTTGCATAGGGCCTCACTCCACTACCGTCCACTGTACGAAAATGGACAGTGGGACGTCGCTCCACTTACCGTCCATTATCCGCGTGCAAAATGGCTTGGACATTTGTCAGAAATACCGTGGAAATCGACTGTCCATTTTGTATAGCTCCAGCCTACACGAGTACTTTTGTGGACGGTCCTCGTACGAGCCCACAGAACTTCCGCCTTTTTGGACAACGAGCCTGGAGTTTGGGCGTACAAAATGCTATCGAGGCTGTGCCTTGTAGTGCTGCGCCCGTGTCTCGTAGGGAACTCACGAATTTGGGTGTTGTATAGTGTACAGCAAGTGGAGCGATGCCGCGTTTCCATGATTTTTGTACGCTCCCATAACTGTCCACGAGCTGTCCATAATTTTGTACAGTGGACAGTAGTGGAGCGAGACCCATAGTCCTTCACATATTCATTAACATTGTGATAAGAATTGACAGAGACATTGACTGACAACCTAAGCAGTCGAGCTCGTAAATGATTCGTTCGGTCATTTCAGTATTATGATTGCATGATGGCGGTGACTCGGTGAGGCCTGGCAAGCAGAGATCTCAGTAATCCATTCAGCCTAGCCTGGTCCAAGGGGCATGGGGACCTACCCTCCCATCTCATCACAACCTTTGCCTAGGAGCCTCAAATCTTTTGAATGGAATTACAGAAAACTCAGCCAAAGGGGTACAAGAAAAACGAACAGGGAAAACGCGAAGTGAATCACAGTGATGAGAAGGCAAAAGCCTGAAAAATTGTGTGATATGCGGCAGTGATATGGGAGCAAAACACCAGAACCCTCAAAAAAATAAACTCGAGCGAAGGACAGAATGTGTCCTCTGGGCCAAACTTGGACCAATATGGACAATACTAGCATGGGCTCTGGGCAAGGAGGATAGGCACAAACTAGGAAATGGTCCTTGGGGGGTTGGGGGTGGGGGGTGGGGTGGGGGGGGTGGGGGAAGGAGGAAGGAGGGAACCATAAAGGGTACAGCTTCAAAACGTCCTGTGTACCCCATTGTTAGCACACGTGTCAACTGCTCACTGTATTGCCCCTGCTATTGACAATCATTCCTTTTCTTTTTTTCTCTCTTCCTTATGTTTTTTTCTCTCAAATTCTCTCAAGTTCACATTTCACTACCTACCTACGACTACTCCTAAGGCTATACAGGGTACCCCTGCAAGCATAGCTACCCCACAATGACGGGATTGCATGTTGCCCCCTTGCGAACAGTGGTAGTCAGGAGGAGGGTGGGGCCGGAAGTTGGGGCCTTGCTATCACACAGACCGAGCATTTTTTTGCCAGTAGCTGCGCCTCCCTTTTCATCTTTCCCGACCCCCATCGAGTAAAACAGCAAGTGTCTAAGGCCAACACTCGCCCACACACCACCCACACACCCATGTTCCCTATCGATAAACTAAAAGAATTTCTTAAGAGTTCCTCCCTTCATCTTCTCTTATATATCTGTTTGTCTCCACTAACCTAATAAGCCCCTACTGATTGATTGTCAGTGGAGATGGTGATGAACACTGGCAAGAGGTTCAAAAATGGAAAATGAAGAAAATGACAAAGAGATCTGCATTGCTCAATGATACATGATATATCACATGGGTAGTTCAGGCTCCTACATAAAATGACCAACCTTCAGCTTCTTCAAGTCCTGTGAAAACGTTGCTAGTTGCTCTTCCACATCCACCACATCATCCCCTATGAAGATGCGCTTGGACACCGAGGAAGTGGTCCCCGGTCTTTTCTCAATACTGCCGATGAGGCGGTCAAGGTCTTCGCTCATTTGTCGTACCTGAATCAAGGCACCCAAGAGGAGAGGCGAGCCTTGCACATCAGACTATTACTTCAAACAAAGGAGAAAACACAAAAAGGAGCAGCATTAGAGAGGGCTGAGGACAGCAGAAGAACACGGGATTTACGAAAAAAAAAAAAAAAAAAAAAAAAAAAAAAAAAAAAAAAAAAAAAAAAACATTTTGTTAATGTTCACAACATGAGAAAGCCATCTAAACTTTAAAAGAGGCCCACGTGGCCTCCCAGATAACATGCTAAGAAGGGTTGAACTGAAGCAAGTATGCATGAGAGATCATCACTAATGTTTTTCCCTATATAACAAAAAATTGAAAAAATGTATCATGTGCACTTGGTCTGAAAATCATCATGAATGCAATCGCAGTGGTCCCTCTTCCAATTTGACGGAGAATGCTACCGTCTTCTCCCGAACATAACGCACCCTAAAAATGAATGTATACAAGCTATATTTCCGGCCAGATACACAGCCAAAATGAGGGTGCGTTGTGTTCGGGGGAAGACGGTAGTCACCGAAAGGCAAAACAATCATGACAGTAGGTATGCTGCCTCACTGGACATCAATTGCGGCCCATGTTTTCACGTCCCACTGAATACCAAACACAGAGCTTTGACTTACCTTGTCCAAATCTGGCAAAAACTCTTGCTCGATGGGTGGAGGCACTGCAGTTCGTCTCTGAGACTTCAGTGAGAGCACCTGAGCTTGTGATGAATGACCTGTTCCACGAAGTGACGGCGCAGCTGGACCCAATGGCATTGCTGAACCCACTGCCCTTCCTTGTTGTTGCTTACCAGCAGCGACCGACGGGGACTGACCCCATGCCATTGAGCTGCTCCCACCAGGCTTGGACGACAGCGAAAAGGTTGATGTCGATGTAACGCCAAATCCAGGCGTCTTCACGACACTTGGAGTCATTCCAGGGCGCATAACAGGCCCTGATGATGCAGAAGCGGCCGCCATACCAGATCCAGGAAGACTTGCTTTTGGATTGGATTGAATGGGAGGGGCATTCTTCAAGGTGAGACCTTCGGCAGTGCCAGGCCTCTCAGGTAGGCTAAACGCCGATGCACCAGCTCTCACCGCAAATGGATTGCTGGCATGAACCTGGCTTTGGAGGGCGGCCTTTGCAGTCTGCCCACTTGGCTGAACACTTGCCAAACCTGTCATAACAGGTGACATAAGAGATGATGCATATGCCGCCACCTCACGGCCACCCGCCACCCCGCCTGGACCCTGTTCCTGCTCATCCTCTGTCACACTTCCACTTCCCGAGTCCACTGTATCATCGTCGCTTGACCCGGCAATAATACGCCTTGAAGTAGCATCCGTCGTTGACACAGTGCTCAATCCAGTGGACTGGGAAGCGGATGCATCGTGCTGTGAAGGTGGCAGCTTCTGCGTTATAGCCTCAAACAGTGGCTGCCCAGAGCTTGGGATGGGCTTTACAAAGCTGCCAAACTGGGAGCCAAAGTTAGACAGCGAGCTAGTAGTTGGAGTGAAAACGGAAGGTGCCTTGGCAGCACTAGGGCCGCCAAAGGAAGAGCTTGCTCCAGAATCCTTAAGGCTGAACAGTGACTTTTGAGCTGTGGTACTTTTAGAAACAGTGGCTGCTGGGAGGGATGCAGTCGCCGTGGATGGTGCGCCTGCTGGCGTCAACGACAGGCCTTTCTTCGCCGGAGCAGGAGGAAGTGAACTTGCTGTCACAGATCCTTGGGAAGGCAATCCTGCAGGAGAGCTAATGCCTGCAGGCAGAGCGATCGAAGAGGCTGCTGCGCTGTCAGGCACTGCTTGAGTAGATGAGCCGACAACTGGCACAGACACCACATCTTTCAGTGCAATCCCTGGTTTCCTCCCTTCATCGGGGACCCGACTAATTGGTGCTTTTGCCCCCATGTCTGATGGCTCTGCTGGAGCAGCTGCTCTTTGCTTTGATGGAATCGATGGAGTTGTCTCTCTGATCGTTGATGTAGAGCGTCCGTGCTCATCTAATCTGCAAGCAACTCATTCATTAAGAAGTGTGCACAAACACACCACATAATCAGCATCAGCACATCACCTCACCAACATTACATTTGCACATGCACGACATGCAGAGGGTTGCCGCTGTTTGAGGCTATAACACAGAAGGGGATGTGATTCCACATGCAGAGGGTTGCAAAGATTATTCAGCGCTTTGCGCCTTGGTACTTTCCCAAGCGTCGTCCTGAAGTGGGGCACATAACCAAGGTCCATAAACACAGCACATTCATCGAACGCAAGGAAGCTGTCATCTTCCGTCAACAGGTTAAGACATGCAAAACACATTTCCCACACATGACACCTGGAGAAAAGAATAGAAAACATCATGCAACTACGTTGACAAATCGCAGTATCAACAAGAAAGTGTTTCGGGGATCCGTATCTCAAAAGCATTACCCATGAAGGTTTTTCCTAGGCTACCAGAGTGGCCTGGTGTCACTTGCCCGGCCGGGCCAAAAAGATTTAAAATAAAAAATATTTAAATATATATATGCAAGGAACATGAGTGTGGACGAAGCACAGAAATCCAGAATGCAAAATCACACTGAAGTCCAAGTATTCAAAGCCAAAGCAGATAGCACATGGAACCGAGTAACCATCCCATTGAGAATGATACAGAAGAATCGTGAGTCAATGTCCATGCCCACCAGGGCAACACCAACAGCATAACCCAAATGTAGCTCTCTCTTGTGAATGGCGCCAGGCACCCTATCTACTCTACAGCCTATCC